TAGTCAAATGTTATTTATTTTTAATCAGGTAAATGTTATTCTTCCATATAATTATAGTACTTTTAATATGCACAGAGATTCTGGGTATAATTCTCACGGTTTTTTATAAACTCATTTTTATTTTGAAATTCCGAGTTGGGGGTTAGTTGAGCATGAGTTCTGTCACTAAGACAATTAACATTAACTTCCAGAAATTAATTATTATTTTTAAGATTTAAGCTAAGTCTATGAGTAATAATATAAAGAAATAATGATTTTTGAACAAAATACTGAATATAATGATAAAATAATTCCTAAGATACGATATTGTTTTGTTGATTCTACTTTTTGGTTATTATTTAAAGAAAATTACTATAAGTTTTGTATTCTCTGTCAATAAATACTATAAATATAGAACTGGTTATTGAAAACTAATTTTATTTCATTACTAATCGACATTGAACCTATGATTTCATTATAATTTCTTAGTGCTCAACTTGCCCCACCTATGGGGTACATTGAGCATACTTGACTTTTTGCATTTAAACAGCTGTAGATTTTAAATTTTACTTATTGCCAAAAAATAGTATTAACACTTTTTTAAGCGATAAACAACAAATCCATTGAGCCGTATAGCAATTTATTGAGACTTTTCATTGAGGAGCTACATCCGTTTAAGTAAAAGTTGCTCAACTAGCCCCGCCCTACCCTACGCCAAAATGTTCAGAAACCTTTGAAACGTAAAGATATATACAATTTTTCATTTTCGATTTTGCTATTACTATAACTTGCCCTACGAAAGTTAATTAAAAAAATTAAATATTGTAATTTTTACTGAAACATGATGATTTTTGCGCCTTTAAAACAGTCCATTTGTTGGTGTATAAAATTAATGTTAACTATGATTTATGCTTTACAAATGCTATATAAATTAAATAATTTTATTAATTTAATACTAATTTGAAAAACTAGAAGTTCCATCCTTAAATATATAAAACTATCGTAAGTATGGTAGACTGGGTACGGTTTTGCCACTTCCTTTTTAATCAGCAATAATTTTGTTTATTTACAAGTTAGCTGTAAAAAGGCCATAAATATAAGTTGAAAAACATGAACTATAAAGGTCAAAATGTTTTATGGACTGGAATATGTAACACAACACAGCATAATCATTCAAACGAAGCTTATGAACATAAAATACGTAACAATATAACAAAATATAATTTTCAAACAAAAATAACAAAAAATCTATATGTTATCTTATATGTTGATAATGTTATATATGTAATCCCTTTGTATAGAAAAGCGCAGTATATTAGGAAGCTGTATGGTAGATAGACGATATAGTAGAAATGGCGTTCATACATTTTATGAACAAAATATTGTTCGAATAAAAATATATCAAATTTGTCTAAATTACTTACGTATTTATTTATATATTGCGATTTATATATATCATATAATTTAATATAAATGTTTAGTACTTATTCAATTAGTTTTATTTATAAATATCGTTACAAGATATTACTATAAATTTTATTATTATAATAAGAATGTTAATGTGTTTTACATTTTTACAAGCCAGCAGCAAATTCTGCTCATGAGCATCAAGCATAAATTCAAATTAGTTATTCGTTGAAGCAATTCGCATGGCGACTGTGAAGTTTTCGTGCTTGCTTCATAATCTTTTTTTGCCTACGAATAGTTTTCTCTGTGGCGTTTTACTTGTAAGTAGATGGCTCGTATTTCCTTTACTTCCTCTTTCTTGGCTTTAGCTAATTTTATGCAATTTAATTCACTCTGCGTCACCTAAAAATAA